GACGCGCAGAACCGCAGCAAGCTCGCCGAGTTCCTGCGCTTCTTCTCGACCAAGTCCACCGACGAGCAGATCTCGCTCAACGGCACGTTTTCTATTTTTTATTTATATTGAATAAATTTGCTTAATCGATGTGCAGACTACATCACCCGCATGCCCGAGGTCCAAAAGTCGATCTACTACCTCACCGGCGAATCGCTCGCCGCCGTCCGCGACTCACCCTTCCTCGAGGTGCTCAAGAAGAAGGGCTTCGAGGTGCTCCTGCTCGTCGACCCCATCGACGAGTACGCGATCACGCAACTGAAGGAGTTTGACGGCAAGAAGCTCGTCTGTGTGTCGAAGGAGGGTCTCGAGCTCGAGGAGACGGAGGACGAGAAGAAGGTACGGGAGACGGAGGCGGCCGAGTTTGGCGAGCTTTGCACCACGGTCAAGGACGCGCTCGGTGACAAGGTCGAGAAGGTCGTCGTCTCGAACCGCATCACCGACTCGCCCTGTGTCCTCGTCACGGGCCAGTTCGGGTGGTCGTCGAACATGGTATGTTGTTTCATGCGACCGACGTGACACGACGCTAACGACTTGAGTAGGAGCGCATCATGAAGGCGCAGGCGCTGCGGGACTCGTCGATGTCGTCGTACATGGCATCAAAGAAGACGCTCGAGCTGAACCCGAGCAACGCCATCATCAAGGAGCTCAAGCGGAAGGTTGCGGAGGACAAGGGTGACAAGTCCGTCCGGGACCTTACGTACCTCCTGTTCGAGACGGCGCTGCTCACGTCTGGGTTTGCGCTCGACGAGCCCACATCATTCGCCAAGCGCATTCACCGCATGATTTCGTGAGTCGATTTGTGTGCGCCCTGCTTTGTGATACTAACCGCCGCGCAGGCTCGGACTGGACGTCGATGAGGACGAGGAGGAGGAGACGGCCGCTGCCGACGACGACGCACCACCGCCACTGGAGGGCGCGTCGACGTCTGCGATGGAGGAGATTGATTAGAGTCGTCGTTGTCGTATCTTACCGCATTCTTTTTTGTCTGTTCTGCATCAAATCAAAAACTGCTTTTTTTCTTCTCATCCGGGTGTCGAATGACTTGTTGTGTGAGAATTCATTGAATGACTCGGCTGGGTGAAACTGTGAAAGGCATCGAGACAATGAAGAGATTGCCATCTCGCGAATGTTCCTGACTTGCGTGTGACTTGTGGCTGTGTCTAGTATCCAGTCACGTCGCGTTTTCGCTCTTTCGCAGGACACCAGCATTGTTCTCCTAGCCGCCCTCCATGATCTCTTCGATTAAAATCCTTTAAGACCTCCCTTACGACCAGCTGTATTCTTATTACCTCCCAGATGCCCTCTGCTGTCTGTCCCCAGCCATCCGCTGCCACTGCTGCAACTGCAACTGCTGCTATTTATTCCATGGTACGCCCACAGCTTCTCTGCGACGCCACACGCGCTTACTGGGCCCCAGACGACCCCTGCATTCGGCGCAATGACGCCCCAACGACTCCAGTCTCCCATCCATCTCGACCCGCGACCACGCTCCGTATGTCTCTGCTTTTTTCCTCTGTGGCCACGGCTTATGATCTCTCGCAGACCGCGCGGTCCCACTGCAGCTCATCCCAGCGACGTCGCACCGTTCGACCGCGTCGCCGTCGCCACTGCGCGCGTGCAGACTGCCCAGTCGACTCCGCACTCCACCCCTTCGACCGTTTACCATGGACGCTTGCCCTTGATACGCCACCCGACGCGCTGGATCTCGCAGACATCGCAGATCTCTCTCAGCTCGTCGTCGATGACTCTGCGGACGAGGGTGGCGCAGTCCTCGGCCCTATCCGCCGTCGCAAGACGTCCCTGCGTTCCAACCCCCTCGCCCCCAAGCCTCCGCCACTGCATGAAATGACCCCACCCCATACTCCCATCTCACACATTAATCACTCTCGCATCCACTTTCACAATCTCATGCCCGTGTTTTCTTGCGATCACCCCGCCGCACGGTCCTAATACGCGCGCGCTTGCCGCTGACCTATTGCACTCGCCACCGTAATGCTTTTCGCTTCGTACTGCACCATATCCTCGACAATAATTTCGCATCTCCGCCATTTATCACGACCAGCCTCCTCAATCGATGTATCCCAATATCTGCGCATATCATCTCGGAGAAGTATATATCTGCATTAGTATCGTTTTCTTTTTGTTTTCCTCCGCACCCCTTGTTGTTACCATCTCAGCGTAACGCTGCTGTTCTGCCCTACCTATCTGCATGCATACTTACTTATAAACTGCTGCCATGACGCGATCGACTCTCTCGCTGTAATAACACACATATGACTCAGGCAATATACTTAGACTCGCATTCCGACTACCACTATGTCCGATTCCCGCGTCATAAATTTCGGCGCAGGCCCCTCAGCCCTGCCAGAGTCGGTGTTGCAAGAGGCAACCAAAGGTCTGCTCAACTTTGCTGGAACCGGCATCGGGATCGCAGAGATTTCCCATCGCTCAAAAGAGTTTACCGCTTTTTTGGCGGAAGTAGAGGGCCTTGTCCGTACCCAGATCGACGTCCCTCAGACGCACAGTATCTTGTTCACACAGGGCGGAGGAACTGGCCAGTTTTCTGCTGTTGTGTATAATCTACTCGCCCGACACCGTTTGCTCCACCCTGATCTCTCCAACGAAGAACGCGCTCTGGACTATGTCATCACTGGGTCTTGGAGCAAAAAAGCAACCGAAGAGGCGAGACGACTCGGCGGCGGCACGGTAAATGTCGTGGCCGACGCCCGTGCGTCCTCCAAGGACGGAAGGTCGTTTGACAACATCCCCGCGCACGACGCCTATACATTCTCGCCCGATCCCGCCCTCATCTACTACTGCGAAAACGAGACCGTGGACGGCGTGGAGTTTTCAAATGACGCGTCGTCGCAAGCTTCCTTTCCGTTCCATCTCCTCCCGAAAAACACGCTCCTGCCGCTCGTGGGCGACTACTCCTCGTCCTTCATGTCGCGCCCCATCCCGCACCTCGCGGACCATGCCGTGATCTACGCCGGCGCGCAGAAGAATATCGGCCCAGCGGGCCTCACCATCCTCATCGTGCGCAAAGACTGCCTCGTCGACGTTGACGCGGCGGCGAAGCTCGGTGCGGCGCCCGTGCCGGTGACGATGGCGTACAAGACGCTCGCCGATAATTCGAGCGTGTACAACACGCCTGCCGTTCTTCCGATCTACATTGCCGGGCTAGTACTCCGGCGCTCGGCGGAGCTGGGCGGCGTAAAGTACTACGAAGACTTGAACAAGCGCAAGGCGGACAAGCTCTACGCAGCCATAAAGGAGGGGGAACAAAAGGGAGTGTTCCGCGCCAAGGTCAAAGAAGGCTCGGGGAGCCGGATGAATGTGGTGTTCGATGTCGTTGGCGATGGGGCGGAGGCGCGGTTCATCTCTGGCGCCGATGCTTTGGGGATGAAGGCGATCAAGGGACACCGGTATGCATGTGTATTATTCTCAACGCCGAACCGGTGCTAATCTGACGTCCCAGGTCGGTTGGAGGTAAGCAAAGTGCTCTCTTTTTTGCGTGCGGATTCGATTCTTGTGCCAGGCATCCGGATTTCGCTCTACAACGCAGTGACAGAGGAACAGACAGAGACTCTAGTCGCCTACATGAAGGATTTTCTGACCCAGTAGGGCATCGGGTCGTCGTTGAACAATACAAGAAAAGTACAAGGTTTGTATGTAGTATAGTCTTAAGAGATCCTTCACCCAAGAAACATGACATCAGATCGCAGGACATATTTCACACCTTTTAGAACGGGCGATCCTTCGTGCAGCATGCAGTCACGTCCATGGCTGCAAACTATGTCGGTAAACCCTGGCATTGGTCTGTGAACTGCGCGGCATACCGATGTAGAAGAGCAGTACCCCGGGTCAGAGGGGCCTTTATGACGTTCTTGGACGTTCCTTTACCAGTTTGGTAGAATAATGTCTGGAAGTAACTGAGTCGCCGCAAAGAGCGGCAAGAGAGGCTCACGATACCTCACCCCCCTCGACTCCATCTTCGTAGCCGGTCAAGTACAGCAACAGCGTCCATTCTGACTTAGCACCAGTCACTGGATCACGACAATCGTCGTCGTAGTGCGGTCTGCACGCCGGTGTGAGAGGGCTGGAGATATAGGGAGAACGGACAAACCCAAAATGCTGCAACGGAGTGTATTTGTACACGCGTATATTTGAATTGAAGGAATGGGCTTCGCGCGCAGGGCCTACGGTAGCGCTGCCCTTGCCTGGCTTTGCAGGAAGAAACGGGGGAAGATGCGGCGTAAAGACATCGTGCAGCCGTTTCGCAAAGTCGACGGAGGTGATTGAATATCGGTCTAGGAATGGTCAGGTTGGGTCCGCCACGTCCAGGGTGTCCTTACGGTTGTGCCTCTCTGCTTCGCCTCGCTTCTTGGGAGGGGTAAGCTCCAGCGGCAGGCTGTCAATGAACTTCACAAAGGATTTACACTCGGCTGGAGATAAAATGTTCTGCAGTCAATTGTAAAAATCAATGCGCGATTCATTGAAAATGAGGACTCATTATACCAACGTCAATCACGATAATCTGGTCCTCGAGGAGAGCCTGCCACTGGAGGTCGAACTTGGACGATAGTTCAGGAAAACTAGGCGGAGCAGCTTGAGGTGCGTTGTTCGTTGTCATGGACTTGACGCCTTTTTCCTTCATGTATAGTTGACGTTCGTCCCAAGTACCCGTTTTTTGTTTTATCTGAGCGGTTGACCGTGGGACTATTAATATGATCTCCCCAATAGGTATACGAGGAAAAGGTCCAATCCCTGTCCAATCCCAGCGCGGATGGATTTGGGCTCTATGTTCCATCACAATGCCCGGGATGCTGACCGGCATTGAATGCCGGTCAGAATCACTATTTAAACTTGATTTGGCGATCCATGGGTGACGAGCTCAGACAATCCCGTCCCAATTCGAGCCAGTTGGTGAACAACTTTAGTATCTGACCACCGACATCTGTCCCCTGGCCCAGCTGGTTAAGGCGCACGACTGTTATGAAGATTCGCTGATATCGTGAGATCGAGAGTTCGACCCTCTCGGGGACAGTTATTTTGTTCTTTTTGCGCTCGAAACGTCGTTTTTCAAGTTTAAACGACATAGGAAGCAAAGGATTCACTGCTTTTTGATAAAAGTTGATTTTTCAAATTTTGGGCGTTCATTGGACACTTTTGAAGTCAGTGACTGGATGGAAAAGGAGCAAACGATAGCCTCCTGTAAAAATACAAGCAAACGGATGCGGATTGGAGGAGGAAAAGTAGGAACGGTTCAACGGCGAAGCCACGATCAATAATCGCCGCATTGGGCGATCGAAGGTTATATGTTTGTCTCTATTTGGACTCAAAAGCGTTGTTCTCTCGCAATTCCCTGAATGCAGTGTAAGTAAATCGAACAACCATTTGTCGCTGCTACTGTTGGTCTGTACTCGGCGCAATAAATTCGGCTATATAATTGTGCCAATCAGTAGTAACGACATATGTCGCGCGACACGACACTGTGTGAGGTTGAGGCGAATTCGGGCACGGCAACAGGCGAGAGTGAAGGCAAAACTCAGAACGACCTAGGGCCTAGGCCAGTTACGAGAAGTGTCTCTTGAAGGCAGTTACATTTTTTTTTTTGCGACTTCCGGAAGTGCTCCTAGAACCAACCGAGGTTGAACGAAGGAGGATGGATCTCCAGACGCTCAAGACGTTTTGGCTCGCCTGGCGTTGAATTATGTTGGCAACTCTCCAGTATTTTTTACCTCAAGGTGCGATCCATAGTCTAGTATTCAAACATCCAACGCAATTGCACTGTTCCTTCAGAATCCTGACTGAGGAGGAGTGTCACCATAATCACCTGGCACGCTGAAATGTGTTAAATCCCCAACATCGCTTATACATTGCGCGCCCTCTTGAAACGGTTTCAAGCGCATGAAGCGGCTTTGACTGGGGAGGCCCGAACCAGATGGCGAAGAAAGTGGCGCGATAAGATTCCACATTGGCAAAGTGTATTAATCTATACGTTCTATTCAGCTTGCCATTTTTATTTAGCGCGATTTGGGATGCAATGCGTTGAGTGCGTAGAAAAAAATACAAGCCAGAATGCCGGCGCCTGCGTAGATGCGCAAACGGGTTTCAAACGGATTGAGGGTCAAAAAGGGATAGGGAACTATGACAGACAGATATTGAGCAAGGAAGATAAGCATTTAACTTCTCTCGACCTACAGGTTCCGTTCTTGCTCGCACAATGTTCGGCCCACCAGCCGTACCACACGGTGCAAAGAAGAGTCACTGCAGGAGCCGCATATATGGTCGACTGTCGCCCGTATCTGCGCTCAAAAATCATGAAATCGGCCAAGAGCGTTAAACATGGCGCGGCATGCAAGCAAAGATCAATAGAAAGAGGTAGCACGGAGGATTCTGTGGACTCGGCGGGGGCTGCCTGGATGATCAAGTGAGGAAAAAACAACAACAGAGTCCAGTAAATCGAGGAAACGATAGTCGCAATGGGCATTGCCGCAATGAGCAGCGCCCGCTTAGTGCCTCGAATACCTGAAGGCGTGTCACAGCAAGTTAGATGGGTACGGATACAAACATACCCGGGACTGAAGGAATAAAATCTTCGAGCAGACCGACAATCATCGTGAGGCAAGCCACGGCAAGTCTGCCAGAGTGTCAATTATGTACGGTGCATGTTACTGGCGTTTATATATACCCTTGGATAGTCAGGAATTGAAAGTGTCCCCCGTATTGAGAAGTAATCCAGGCATTAATAGATAAGCCATGCAGACTGGGACGCCACGTATAAGAACTGTAGGGAGTGGTTCAACGTCGACCTACGCATTATAGCTGGTTTATGTTTAGTACCCCGTGAATTGTTCCTAGTAAATACTAACCCATAAATCATAGCGCAGATGGCGCTGGCGTGCAGAGCGGCGCTCGAGTTTTGTGGTGGCATGTCTGATGTTGGAAGCGAGCGGAAGCGGAAGACAACTATGCATCAGGAAAAAGCAAAGTTGCTCTATAGACATCCAGAGACCTGCATAGTCGCTATAGACGCTATAGCAAATAGCCCACCTCCATAGAAAGGTGGGAGGACCAGTTTTAAATCTATAGACATTCATAGACCAACATAGTTGGGATGTCGTCTATCATAGTCCCAATAGTTATAGACACCATAGTGCTCATAGTTCTCATAGACCGCCACTTTTGCGTTCAGATTTTGCCGAAAGAATTGCGAAAAATAATAATATTGCGTTTTATATAATACATCGATGGTAGTTATGCACCGTCAACGGCTATGCCATGTGATCCATTCTTCCCATTGGTGTGCGGAAAACGATGCGCCGCTTCCCTGCTACAAAGACCTGAGGCAAGTGGATTCTATTGCTGACTGCGGTGGTGTTTGCACGCAAGAAGTCGACGCTCTGGAAATATGTAATAAACGGTATTATCACGGAACAAGTAGGAGCGATGCACATACCGGACCGTATCTGCGTGGGTTGATCTGTCGTGGCTGCGGTGGTTTGCACCCAAGAAGTTGACGCTCTGGAAATATGTAATCAACGGTATCATCACGGATCAAGTACGATCGATGCACATACCAGACCGTATCTGCGTGTGTTGATCTGTCGGGGGGGACGTTGCAGTTGTTGAGCCTCATGAGGAATGAACTCGCGTATTTTCGCAGGTGGTGAGTCACGGCTTCGTATATAAACAGAGAGAGTGCATACATTACAATTTACGGCAGCATTCATGCTCGCGGAGTAGGATGCACGTCGCCTTCTGCAGAAATACGTGAGATCTTGGGAGTTGTTAGTGTTGAAATGTGCGGGATATGCACTGGTAATGACGACGAAGAATAGGAGCATGGCCATTGGGATATGCCAGTATCCTCGTTTCACTCATGACATTAACCTTTCAGCTGCGAAGGAACAATTCTAGCATGTAAACACAGAGAGGTCAGAAACTCACCAGTGCTCCTGGTACAGGCGGGATCCTACGTAAAACGGTGGAATATTGACCGGCCAATAGTCAAATCTAAGCACTTTGGAGTCGGAGGATACGATAGGGAAACAACGACATACGAGGGCAATGTGCTCGTTCAGATCCGGGCCGCCGGCGCCACAATGAAGGATTCAAACGGAAACCGGGAGTGTCCGACCGCCTTCGTTTTCCCAGATCCGAGTTGACTCGCGATGAAACTTGTGGGGAGATGGAGGAGGAGACTGGTTCGAAAAAGGCCCGCTCGGTATCCCATCCAGCACCGGGTGCAGTCCATGACGATGAGCCAGATATTTGAGTGACGTTGATAGCTCACGGCGTGGAACACGCCATGTCCTGTATCAGGATCCCGTGACGCGTGAGTAATGCAGATATGCGGAGGGCTCACAAAGATACAGTGAATTCTTTGAGGCACTTGGAAGATTCAGGTCCCAGAGATGGAACGATGTATTCCACAACGTGAAAAGAATCGTTCACCGATTGAGTGCTGCGACTGTAAGACATGGAAGATGAAAAGAATGAGGGGCTCACCTGTCAGGGTATGGTGGAGAGCTGGTCTTCAGGAAATCTTGAGCGAAGCGTTGCCGAAAATGGGTGGACGAAACCGTTGAATCACTGGACATACTCAGTGCAATGGAAAGACTCGACGGCGGGGTGAAGGAGGAGCTGAGAATGTCGGAAGACCTCGAACAGGACTGAGGGTTCAGACAGTGGGCAGAGGGAAGAGAGATGGAAGGAAGAAAGAGAAGGTGCTTTGACGTGTTGTGTCACGATCAAAACCAACATGCACGTGGTTCGCCGAGACTTGTTCCGAATTCTTCCATCTTCCGTCCCGTGAATCCAGCATTTCAGTTGGTTTAAGTACCCCACCTCGATTGGTTCCCGGAATTATATCCTCTTTTCTGAGAGTGCATTGGGCATGCGTCCAATTCGAAGTGACTGTCAGCATTGTCGGCCGTGGATCAATTTAATGGTAAACCTAATCGGTCGGCGACTCAGGAAGACTCGAAGTCTCGACCCAAGTTACATCATTTTTGCCATTGAAGTTAGCCATGTTAAATGAGCCATGTTGAGAGTTGCATGCCCGTTATACGATGTACGTTGGCTACTGGTCAGTGATTTCCAACCAACAATTGCTTGATCCCATCGTTATTCAAACCTCAACTGAAGTGAGTGTGACTTCAACAGATAAAAATGTTCCTGCCGGAGCATCTTGACGTAAAAAGTTGCGAGTGTCGCTTAGAGGACTCACACATATTTAGGCGAGTCTACGGACTCGCCTCATTGGCTCTTTATTCACTCGAGACTCGGATTAAGTATGTGTGATGTTCAAGTTGGTGTCATGGGTCCGACTCATGTGGTTTACTCTCCATCCAGAAATAAATCAACCCAACTCGAAAGACATCCGGGTTTCGAAGCTTTGACATGAAGACAGAATTACTTGAGCGTAAGTATCGCTCCGTGAGTATGAAGCTTCTCACTGGCACGTTTTCACTCCTGGGACCCCAGAGCCAGGAGTTTATCCCTTTCTTTCTTTTTGGTTACTAGCTATGTGGCTCCAGAAATATCCTGGAGTGGTACATGGTGAGCTCTCTTTGGCCACGCCTGAAGTCGGCATATCGTGTGATAGTAGATCTATAGTTCTGTATAGACTTTCATAGCATACCGGGGGCAAAATCATAGACCGCCAGAGACATTCATAGTCCTCCATAGCGTTCTAACACACCTCCATAGACATTGATAGACCGCTGTAGACAACGAGAGACCCACATAGCTGAGGGTTTGTCTATCATAGCATTTCGGTTTTTCCTGATGTGGCAGGTGATTGGCACTGCGTCATCGGCGATCACTTCTTTGGACATGTCGGACCGGAAAACCGAGTTAGGTCGTGTGCACTGCTATGTAGGCACTGCTCGTTGGCCACATAATCTGAGACTCGACTATCATCTTAGTTTTTTATACGATCCGTACCCGTAATCTATCGGAACGAGCATGGATAGACTACGAATGTATTTGTTATCTGAGCGATGTCGATTTTGTCTACACGAACAAGCTATTTGAATT